CTAAGTCAAGGTAACTAACTAGACAGGGGTACTTCTATTCTGGATAGCATCTTCATGTGAATTATTAAAAGGCACCCCCTGCCATCTTTTGGAAAACTGTTGTCATATGCTAATTTTGTTAGAAGACACTTTACTGCTCTCTGACAGACATTTTTCATAATAATTACATAAACTCATGATGTGAATTGCACCCGCTTGGACATGGTACCGTTGTACAGTACATGGCCTGCACAATCACATGGAGGATTTGCAAGTCGGAAAATTAAAAAACATGGAAATCACTGTGGCAACACTTATTTACGAAGTGAAAATGAGAAACCAGATTCATTGCAGTAACTCCTGGAAAGTTCCTGTTCAGCAAGTTGGTGGTATTGGAATGTTGTGGAGGTAGGGAGTGGGGAAGGGACAGTTTTTTCATTGATGGCTTCCATTATTGAGAACAAGAGCTTGGCTATTGCTCTTTCTCTGTCTTCCAGCCAGTTAGAAAGAGCCTACAAATTCCAACTACTTAGCCAAATGGAAAAGATTCTCTGTTTACAGAGAAAACACAAAGCCTGCTTCTTCCCCATCATTAAGCAAGCCGAGTATACTTAGCAGAACTTTTCCACTTAGGTGTCCAAGTTAAGGCTATCAGTGACTTTTAGCTTGAAATCTAAACATTTTAGAAACATTTTGTAGGGAAAACTATTCACAGGCCCTTTCAAAAAGAATCAAATAAATAGTTTGGGGGGTTTCCATCTTGGAATTAGGATGTTTATTTAAGAAACTCTAATAAAGCTCTCTTTCAAGCCCACAAAAATTACAGTCAGAATTGAGTGGTGGACTAAGGATTCAGGAAATAGCTATTGATTTGTGTGTGTGTGAGAGAGAGAGAAAGAGAGAGAGAGAAGGCTAAGGAAGGAAGCAACTTGATAAGAAACTTGCTAATGGTTTTATTTCCTCCAATTTTGAAAACGCATTCTACCAGCAGCAAAGTTTAAAACATTCTCACTCCCAGATTAGCCCGCCTAGGCAAGAGTTAGTACCCAGGGCATGGGTCAGGCTGGGCTTCTGTGAGCAAAGGCATGAGAATGGGTGGGGCTGATGCATTGCCTGTCAGACTTAGTGCAAAAGGGATTTTCAGTGAGGGCAGTCTGGGCCATGAAGGAAAATACAAACCCTCATGCCCAAGGGATTGGGCAGAAACCAGGAAAGAATCTGAGGAGAAGAACTGGCAAAGGACATCCTGACTAAAGAGAGAAAGTTGCACCACAGAGGATTCCAGAAGAATGCCAGAGGTAGAGCCTTTGATAGGGTGGCCACAGATGAGCCCTAAGTTGAGAGAACCATGAAAGAAGCCAAACTAAATTGGACACCAACCTGCTATTTTATTTACTTTTCAAAACCTCCATGGGCAAGAAATCAGAGAATTATGAGGGAAACAATATCAGAAAAGCACAATGAGATGCATAGTGATGGCTCACAAAAGACAGTTAGCTGAGGGGCACCTGGGTGGCTCAGTCAGTTGAGTGTCTGACTTCAGCTTAGGTCATGATCTCGCTCATGGGTTCAAGCCCCACATCAGGCTCTGTGCTGACTGCTCAAAGCCTGGAGCCTGCTTCAGATTCTGTGTCTCCCTCTCTGTCTGCCCCTACCCTGCTCATGCTCTGTCTCTCTCTCAAAATAAAAATAAACATTTAAAAAAAAAAAAAAAAAGACAGTTAGCTGAAAGTTCTATACAGAAAAACTGGGGGGCACGTGCAAATTGCATTTTGATCAAAGTGACAAAGCCGGGAAACCACCTGGAGATAAATGTGGAAGTGTAATAGTTCTGAAGTAGCCACACTGGAAATCAAAGGCTCTGAATGATTGATTGATTGATTTTTTCTTAAATAATAGTTTATTGTCAAGTTGGTTTCCATATAACACCCAGTTCTCATCCCAACAAGTGCCCTCCTCCATGCCCATCACCCCCCTTTCCCTCTCCCTCACCCCCATCAGCCCTCAGTTCTTAGCATTCAAAAGTCTCTCGTGGTTTGTCTCCCTCCCTCTCCCCAATAGCAGCACTCTCAACAATAGCCAAAACATGAAAAGAACCTAAGTGTCCATTAACTGATGAATGGATCAAAAAGATGTAGTATATTTATACAGTGGAATACTACATGGCAATGAGAAGGAATGAAATCTGGCCATTTGTAGCAACATGGATGGAACTAGAGGGTGTTATGCTGAGTGAAATAAGGCAGAGAAGGACAGATACCATATGTTTGTACATATAGGTAGATTAGGAGGAAGTTAACAGAGCCCATGCGGGAGAAGAAGGCTCTGAATGATTCAGAAGAAAAAAGTAGCTTAGCCAAATGGCTCTGATGACGTTTCACAAACACTTCCTATCTTAGGCTTCTAACTATTCTGTGTAAATATAATCCAAACCAGTGACCCATTTAGGCTGTCTAACGAATGAACACTTTCAGAATTCCAACCTTGCTTGTTTTCTGCATTTCTTTTCCAGTGAAGTAATGGGGAAAGATGTATGTATATTGAGTCCCTACCAGCACCTACGTTTGGCAATGTTATAGGGCCTATGGATGTTTAGATAGATAATAATCCCCAGTTGAGCTTTAGTTATTGCTGTGGCTGATGAGTAACTTGGCTTACCCATCAGCTGCATGGGAGCTTGGGGAGTTAGATAAGAAACTTCCCATGTGAAGCTTAACGTTTTAAAATTCACAGTGACCTTGCCTGTTAGTAGATGTAGCTCAAAAATAACTTCAGCTACAACCAGTAAAGTGAGTTAACTTTCCCCTTTGGGCACCAGGTGGAACTGGGTAGAAAGTAGAGACAAAGAGACCAGAAATCTCCACCCCGTGTATCTACCTTGTAGGATTATTGAAGATGAAGTCAATGGCTTTCAACCTTGACTTTACACTAGAATCACCTGGAGCTTTTACAAGCTCTGATACCCAGACCAGGCCCCCAGCACACTCAAATCAAAATCTCTTAGGAGGGGAACTGGCATCAGCATTTGCTGTTTTCCTTTAGTTCTACAGGTTGTTCGTGTGTGCAGTCAGGGTGAGAACAACTGGGTTAAGTGAAACAATGCGGGTGCCCAGCATACTTTTGGTGCCCAGTGAGCATAAGCATCCTCCTCTTTGAACCATTTCCTGCTCCCCCTCCCTCTCCCTTTTCTGCACTTGCACGAGGTAGTGCTGTATCTGTCTTGGCCCTTCCACGTGTATCACAGATGACTGTGCCTCAGAGTTGGGGGTTTTGTTCTTCATGTTGACAAAGAACTTTCTTCTATTTTCACTTTTAATGTACCATCTCATCACTTGTTTCACGTTTTTATCTTCCTTCCAATGTTACTTAATTCCTTGCACCCTGAAGCCCCAGAATCTGTGGCTTTAGGAAGAATTCTGACTTCTGTGTCCCTAGTGATTGAATTCAGCTAAACCTTCTCAAGCACTCTAGAAGATCAGGGTGGATATAACGTTTAAGGCATAAAGAGTGTTTCTTAAAAGAGAACACAATTGATCCATTTCATTTAAAAATGCCTTCATGTTTTCCAAGCATTTTTGAACTCTTAAGCATTTTTAATAAGCTCACTTATGAGTCTTGTTGAAAAAGAAATAAAATACACTTGTTTTCATTAAGGGAAAAGATCTTTTTCCATCTTAGTTGGTATTGTTGAAGGAGACAAAAGGGAGTCCAAAACTTGGCAACAGAGTACATTATTAGTGACATATTGGTCACAGATGTGCTGGTTGAGTTACATTTTCTTCCGGCAATTAGTATTTTAAGTACCCACAAATTACATATGAAAGCCCAGATAACCTCCTTCCCAAAAGGGAAGGATGAAAAATTATGATATTTGCAAAATCTTCACTTTTAAGGTATTCTAAATATGTTATTATAAATAGTCAAATGACACATGTCCAAGTAAAAACACATCACGAGTAATGCTAGATGATGCCAGCCTTTACTTATTACCATCAATTCCAAATACCTTAAATAAGTGCAGATACATGGAGATACTTTTTGGCAATTCTTGTGAATTACAAGGTTTTCTTTCCTTAACAATTCTTAAAAAAATCAAGAAGACAAAACTCAAGAGGGAGAAGGGAAATCTCTCTAGTAATTTTATTGCTTGAATCTGTAGGCCTTTGAAGCAGAGTATAAGGAGTTCACTTTGTATTCAGTTGCAGAAAGTCCTAAAAGGACTCCAAGGAGAGTATTGACCAGCCAACTCTGGAAACAGGGTTAAGATTCACTTGGGGAGGAAGTGGTGTTGGCATCCCATGAAGGCAGTTGGAATAGATGAATGTAATTCCAGACCTAAAGCTTTGACTGTAAGGATGTAATGTAATGAAACGATATGTTGTTAAAAAGAAAAAAAGGATCAAGACACACATTTGATGGACATAAAAATAATGACAAATTAAAACTATTTTAAGACTTCTTGAGAATTTTAAAACTCACCTTGATAAGAAAACTAGACAAGGTAATAACTCCTGGAGGGATGACAAGACTTTTTTGTTTCCATCATGTTTAAATTGATGAGCTAACCAGTTTGAAAGGTCATGTAAATTGAAAGTGATATGAAATTGAACAAAGGGGAAAAATTAGAAGAAGAATTAGTGCATTCCCTATGTAAGAAACTGAACTATGACACAGAAAAAAACAATATGGTCAACTTTCCTGATATATAGGTAGAAGGTTATTTATTTGCATTTTTAATTCAGTAAAAATATGTATGATTTAGTGATCTGATGATTGCAAAGACAGATGGCTTTAAATCAGGAGCTTGTGATATACTTTTCAGCGCCCAAACTACTTAATAGTACCGTCAAGAGAATGTCAGTGTTTGATGCGAGTCCAGTACCTCCTGGTGTCTTGTGTATTGTTTGATTTTATAAGTTCAAGACGTAGTACTGTACAGTTTTTTAAAAACAAACCCATCAGAAGACTAAATATTCTTTTGATCCTCAAAGTACCTTGTTTTGTTGCTCCCCATTTCCTAGGAAAGTGACAATATTGGAGGACCCTGACCAGAACATTCACCTGAAAAACCTGTCTCTCCATCAGGCAGCAACAGAGGAGGAGGCTCTGAATCTGCTTTTTTTAGGAGACACCAACAGAATGATTGCAGAGGTAATGGACTTTTCCGTGTGAGCTGCTTTTTCCATGTTATAAGATAAAATAGAATTTTAGGAGCAGTAGTGAACTTAAAGATAATCTCATCCAAATCTCATGTTATAGATAAAAAAAAATAATAAAGCTAGATTCAAAACAAAAAAAAATAAAAGGAAAGAAAGAAAAACGTAGATTCAGAGAATTGAGAAGACTTTCCTAAGGTCACTTAGCTAGTTAATGGGCAGGAACTGAAATCTAGGCTCTTCGCTTTTATATTTTCAATTTGATGCAAATTTGTTTGCAGATAATCAATGAAAACTCATTAAATATTTTAATTATAGGAATTTTTGCATAATTTCTGAAATTTAAAAATACACAGTTCTTTATTCCTAACCTCAGATCATCCATATATCGGCATATCTTTACATATCCGTATATTTTCATGTACTTAGGGAATTAATATTTATAAGACATTTAGAACAATCCATGGGACAGAAGAGAACAATCCATGCTCTATGTATTTGTGGCTGTTGTTGGCAGACAAACACTGCCATGGTGTGTAGTATAAGTGTGCCGTGGTGCAATATTTTGGATATATTTATGCTGAAACTTATTTATTCTTAATCTAACATTTGTACCTAACTGGGTGCCTGTATTTCACCTGGGAACCCTAGGCAGGAGCCGGGACTGACTAAGCTTGGTTAGAGGCTCTGACCCCAACCAGTTACTCATTGGAGATAGACAGTCACAAAGTAAAGGAATGGAGAGGCTGGGAGTGTGTGGGAATGGTTCCCCAAATGGAGAGCTTACTGTTATCACTGACATTTCCGTCTTTGGTTTCGTTTTTAACTGAAGTATAATTAACATCCAGTGTCATATTAGCTTCAGGTGTACAGCATAGTGATTTGCCAAATCTATACACTATTCGGTGCTTGTCATAATAAGTGTAGTCACCATTGTCACCAAAAAATGTTACTATAGTGTTATTCACTATGCTGTACTTCTCATCTCTTTCGCTTACTCATTGTATGACTAGAAGTTTGTACCTCTTAATCCCCTTTATCTACATTGTCCATCCTCCATCTACATCCTCTCTGGCAACCACTAGCTTGTTGTCTGTATTTAAGAGTCTGTCTGGTTTTCTTTGTTTTGTGTTTTAGATTCCACACGTAAGTGAGATCACATAGTATTTGTCTTTCTCTGCCTGACTTATTTCACTTAGCATGATACCCTCTAGGTCCATCCATGTTGTTGCAAAATCTCATTTTGATTGAGTGATATTCCATGGTTTATGTATACCGTGTCTTCTTCGTCCATTCATCTACCAGTAGACATTTGGGTTGCTTCCGTATCTTGGCTATTATAAATAATGCTGCAAGAAACACGGGGGTGCATGTATCTTTTTGAATTAGCGTTTTCATGTTCTTTGGGGAAATACTCAGTAGTGAAATTATTGGATCATATGGTAGTCCTGTTTATAATTTTTTAAGGAAACTCCATATTATTTTTCACACTGGTTGCACCAATTTACATTCCCACCAATAGTGCACGAAGGTTCCCTTTTTCCCATATCCTTGCTAACACTTGTTATTTCTTGTCTTTTTAATACTAGCCATCTAACTAGTATGAGTTGAAATCTCATTGTGGTTTTGATTTGCATTTCCCTGGCCATTAGTGATGCTGAACATCTTTTTGTGTGTCTCTTGGCCACCTGGATGTCTTCTTTAAAAAATATATCTATTCAGGTCATCTGCTTATTTTTTAATCAGATTATTTGTTGTTGAGTTTTTTTTTTTTTTTTTTTTGTTTTTTTTTTTAGAAGTTACTGATGTTTTTTTGTTNTTTTTTAATCAGATTATTTGTTGTTGAGTTTTTTTTTTTTTTTTTTTGGTGTTGATTTGTAGAAGTTACTGATGTATTTTAGATATTAACCTCTTTATCAGATTTGTCATTTACAAATATCTTCTCCCATTCACTAGATCTCCATTTTGTTTTGTTGATGGTTGCTTTTGCTGTGCAAAAGCTTTTTATTTTGGTGTAGTCCCAATAGTTTATTTTTGCTTTTGTTTCTCTTGCCTGAGGAGACATATCCATAAATATGTTGCTAAGGGCAATGTCCAAGAGATTACGGCCTGTGTTTTCCTTTAGGACTTTTATGGTTTCAGATCTCAGATTTAGGTCTGTAATCCTTTTTTGAGTTTATTTTTGTGTATGGTGTAAGAAAGGCGCCCAGTTTTATCCTTTTGCATGTAGCTGTCCAGTTTTCCCAGCACCATTTAATGAAGAGCCTGTCTTTTCCCTATTGCATGTTCTTGGCACTTTCCTTTTTAAACCATGTTCCCAGAGTTCTGTGTTTTACCTTGTCTCTGATAACAGAGGTAAAGTAGGTGAAGATACTAAGCTGGGGGAGGGGGGCGGAGATAACTAGTCTGAGAAAAATCTCTATCAAGTGACTTTTTTATCTGCTCCATTTCTACTCTGCAGAATGTACCAACTTAGATACAAGATGGATAAATGGAAACCAAATTCAGATAGTGAAAGCATGGTGCTGACATCTGTTCTTGTTCTGGGCCCTTAGTTTTGTTGTTTTTCACCAGTTCTGCATGAATGCTTTTCAGTAGACTAACTTATATAGGTTGAATTTATGTGTGCCACATGAAACATGATTTAAGAACCCTGGAATTATTATTTCCATTAAAAGAAAGTTTTAGTTCTTAATTTCTGAATATCTTGTTTGGCTTTCCAGTGTTCTGCATTTGTGTTTTGCTTCAATAGTAATTGCCCATGTGATCATCCATGATGCTCCTATTCACCATGATAATTGAAGATTAAGAAATAAAGGCAGATTAAGAATTAGGAAGCATAATGACAAAAGATTCAGCATGCCCAACTAAAGAAACTTCTCTATAAACAGTTTAATAAAGAGCAAACCTAGAGATGTACTGAGTCCTGGCCAGCAGTGGAATATGAAAGAGAGAAAAGGTAGACTCATAAATGCTATTAGAAAACAAGTAAAGAAACCTGTCCCTGCCTCAATGCTAACCTTCCTCCAGAGGTGATTTATCCATAGAGAAACCTAGGCCTTGCCCTCACAATTATATTCCCTCATCTTGAATGGGTTATGAAGGGCTCCTGGCCCTGGTTCACCATGACCAATATTACCTTAAAAGTTTGGTCACTTGATATTTCAGAGTTATCTGTTAACTTTAGCTGACTGCGTATTTTCAGACCATTGTTTTGTAAAGTTTTGAGGACTTTAAACTTCTTTGTGCCAGAGTATCTGTCATGTTCTACCACCTTACAGAATTCCATCCATCTTTTCCTATTACTGCTGAGCGTCTAATAATAGTATGATAAATAGCTAAAACCTGACAAGGTTCAATCCAAATAATGCTGGTTGTATATTATTCTTTTATTCATTTTTTTTTCTTTGTAAAGCCCAGTTTCTTTTAAACCAAGTCTAACAGGTTTTGGATGTTTCTCTGCTTCTTTCCCCGCCCCCCTTTGGTAGTAGCTACCATGCTATATTGAGAACCTACTCAATCGACTTGGCATTGTTGCAGACATTTTCTATATACTTCTCTCTCTCTCTCTCTCTGTCTCTTTCTCTATCTATCTATCTATAAATATTATTTTTGGTTCTTATTTTATAGATGGAAATTGAGGCTCAAAGAGTTAGACTGCTTGCCCAAAGTCACACAGAGTGGCAGAGCCAGGGTTCAGCTTCAAGATGACTGATTCAGAAGCTTGTGCTCTTTCCTTATATTACATTTCACAATTACAATAACCATGTCAATAACATGTCACATTTTTCAAGGGAGGATATATTTCTGAGTTACTTAAAAAGCATAGCAAGTATTTAGCAAGTTTATCGCTTGAATTCATTGAAAGCAAATAAATACATCAAAATATAAATGAAGACTAACTGTCAATCCCTGGAAATACTTTATTATTCAGAGCCTCTAATAAAGTATGTTTTAGATTACAGCCTAGCTGTCAGAATGTAATTTGTCAGCGCAGAACGAGCTAACCAGGATAAAAAGAACACACTAATCGTTTTTTTAAAAATGAGGTCCCCAATTTCCCATTTACACAGAGCTGTCCAGAAGTTGCCGTGGTAACCAGAAAACATTTGCAAAACAGAGTCTGAATATGTGGGACACAAAGTGGAGCTCTCTTCCTTTTAGTTTTCTCTACCCAGAGCCAGCATTCTGAGGAAAAGCAATTAAGAGTAGCTTCATCCTCTTCTTATTCATTCAGAACTCTTCAATAATTTCTGTAATCCTACTAATGCTTTGAATAAAACCTGATAATGTCCTTAGGGTAAGTTTTTTAAGCCAGTTAAATTGCTTTGCCAAAGAGAATAAATGGTAAGAGCTGTACTGTGTGTGATTCAGTGTCAAAGCACACCAGTAGCAAGTGTGACTTGATACTTTACTGTCTTATCACTGAAATGTTTCTATCAGTTAATCCAATCTAACTGATGGAAGACATTCTGCATTCGATGGTGAGGTCCTACAGGGTCCTGTTGCGGGGACCCTTTGCTCAGCCCCACCCATGGTCTAGAACACTCTGTGCCCAATGTGGCCTGAGGATATCTTACATTAGAATATCCTGTGATAGTCAAGAGACAGTTTCTTGGATCCCACTTCTGATCGATGGATTCAAAATCTCTGTGGTGGAGCCCAGGAAGATGCATTTTTGCATTTCATTTTGTTTCTTTTTGCTAGAACATGTACGATATTGTATTTTAAGAAGTTAAATTTGTCTCTCTGACTAGAGTAAGCTCTCTCAGGCCAGGATCATTCTGGATTTTCTTCATGTTTGGGTCCCTAGCACCTCGACCAGTGCCTGGCATACAGTAAGCACCTACAGAAATGCTTACTGAATGCAAAACCTGCAAATCTAAATTTTTAAAAATTAAATTAAATTTTGATTCCATTATAGTTAACGCAGTGTTGTATTAGTTTCAGGTGTACAATATAGTGATTCAACACTTCCATACGTCACCCAGTGCT